TGGATGATATTTTTCAAATTATTTTTAAGATATCATGAAAACACAGATCATGATTTTAAAAAACAACAACAACTTACAGATACTGATGAATCAAGCAAAGTCATGACATGCAGCTAATTGGTGTCATGTACTATTAGATCCATATTGCGCTTTAAAAAGTTTGAGCTTGAGATCGAAGTACAATCTTGTAATCATCAATCAGTCACAAAGAGAAATGACAAGAAAGAATTTTGATGTGCTGATTTCATTGTGTCTGCAAAATTAACGATACTAATCTACAGAGAGGAATAGAGGAATAATATGATGAATTTTCCATACAATATCCTTAAAGACCCACATGAAAAGGCAAATTTACGACTACTGTAGTCAAAGCACACTAATCACAATAAATTGGAGGGGGGGGGGGGGGTTGGGGGGAGGAGGATAGTAATAATGATGGTGAATGCGACAGTTTAGATTTTAAAGCAATTAAAAACAAAATCACTACTAGTATATCAAGCACATACATGCCATTTTAACTGCATGTATAAACTTGGCAATAATGTATATCTGGCTTCACAGATCATATTGCTAACTCAGCCAAAAGGGCTATTCCTTGAATTCCACTCTTTAAATCTCTTCTTTCACCTCAGGACTCTATGGGGGAAATTATTGCTATTTGCGTAGAAACTCTATCCTATTTCTAAACTGAAAAGGGATGTTGTCAGTGAAAAACAGCCCCTGGATAGACAAACCCATGCACCCGCCAACGAATAATGATAAAAAATATGATAGCATGTTTAAAGCCAGTTGTTCTTTAGCAGCACTCTTGCAAATTCATGTTCTCTTTCTTATTTTTTTCTTCCAAATAATTATATCCCACTTTTTAACTTCACTAAACTCTACACGTTGAGCTCTGAATAACAAATAGTCTGAATTGGTTTCTAAACTAGCTCCATTATATCTTTGGTGTGGTGAGGCGTTAATAAGGTACAATAGGGTGTGGTTTGTATTCACAAAACCATGACTATTATGAATCTAAATTGGTCAATTTATGGACATAAATCATGAAGGATGTGGACTAGACAGGTATCAAAAGGAAGGCCCTCAGGTTTTATTATCACTGGAGGGTCACATTGGGCTAAATGGAAGGAAGACAGAAAGAACACTGTATTTAAATAGTAATATTTCAATTATCAGTAACAAACTATTTCAAATTATTTTTCAAAAAATGCCATTCTATCCTTGAAAATCTTTAATCAAGCCTTTTAGGATACAAAGCCATATAAATCTTGTTAAGTCTAGAGTTTTGTAAAGCTGACACATCCATGAGGATGTGGGACACGTGGGACAGGAGGTCCAGGGGAAAGGCTAATACCATTACTACACACCAGAGACACATGCTCAATGTAGAAGATGGAGAACAACCCAGCACAGCGCTGTAAGAAACCTGATGCTCTCTTCAGACTTGATCCAATTAAATCCCATTGACCACTCTCAGGAACCATCAGGAACCAATGCACAATTTGTTTGGCATTGCCATGGTAATGGACAACAACTTGGGATCAAAGGGGCAACCTCCCAAGGTAGCCATAAGTGGCCTAGAAAACTTGGCCACTGAACTTTCGGTGGTCTTTGGGTCTGTCGTTTCTTGTCCTATCCATAATTCAGCTGACTGACCATGTCTGTTCTGGATCCGTTCCAAGGAATGGAAAGAAAAGGAAGAACTCACTTGGCAGGACTTAACAGACAAATTGAGAATAACTGAAATATATTAGATATAAAGGACAATAACTAGGAACAGGTATCAGGCATAGGCTACATGTAGGAAATAGATATCATTTCCTTGTGAGTGTAGGTCTATTGCTATTATATTTCAGAATTCAAATATGATAATTTTTTCCTACTTGCTTTGATAAAAAAAAAATTTCGACTATCAGCTACTTTCATTTTCATTGCAGGTTATTAATAATACAAATGTACCATTAGACTTCATGTGACAGCACATCATTACTGATACACAAATATATAGCAGGAAATAAAAACTTGGAACTTCTTGCAAAGATCTATGCCCTACAGACTAGAAAAAAAATGCATCATAAGCTCTGCCTCTGTAAAGCAACAAGGTGAAGAGATGGAACCATCTTTGCTTTTTATACAAATTTCTTTGACTAAACTGCTTCTGACAGCTGGTCAGCTCAGAATACTCGCAGTAGCTGCATCATCCCCCTTCTTTGGCAATCATCTAATGAGAACTGGAGATTGTGATATATAAAAATGCATGCACAATTTTCCCCTTGGCAAAGGGATTGATTTGATGAGCAGCTAAAACAATCGGCGACAAATATACACGCACCATCAGTCTACATAAACACACAATTTACTCATATTCCATATGAAATTTGTCCAGTTCCAATATGCTCTTGCATGAATCCTTTGAAAGGTTCAAGAAATGGACCATTTTAAGGATACAGGCTCATGTATTTTGGGAATACTGGTTAGAGTAATTTATGATTTAGTCTTTAATTCATTAGGCACTTATCATGAATACCCCAAAGATGCAGGATATATAAAAGCTACACTCTAGCTCCTCCAAATTGGATGCCCTCTGACTCTGTGCCTGTATGTGGCGACGAGCATCCTTTAGAGCCTAGAAACAACTGCATTATTTATTGATTTACTTCAACAGCATAAATAACTCTGCACTTTACGTGCTCTGCCCAGATGGGTCACCACCATTACTGCCTATATTTGTTTCCACATTTCCAATTTAGCTACAAGATTTATATCTTGCTCTCCACTTCCATGATCCCATTTTCATATGTTTCAGTTTGCCTGATGCAATGACTATTAAGAAAGCATATAAAGACAATTTATGTCTGTAAAAGAAACACAGTAAAAAGTGATTAAAAATATATATCAAGTTATTGTATGTAGCTGTACATGCAATGCAACAAATATATCAAGCTATTTGGTATCAAATTGTATAAACAAAGAAATATCTTGTATCTGATTAATATCATTCAACTGTCATATTGATCACATCAGACATGTGCTTCACTTAAAGTGAATTATTCCTTTCACATTATTGAATATGAGTGAAATTTTCTCTTGAAAAAACATAGCCATATTTTGCTCATCAAATCATATTTTTGAAAGACTCAAATCTGATGCACTTAGGGCCATCATTTAATGCTCCAGTGAATTTCATATCAATAATCAAACCAAGGCATATCGACAGCCAAATTACCCAAGTGACCAACCAGCGGACATGAACCTGCCAC